TATGTGAAACTGTGTGTGTGTGAGTGTGTGAGTGTGTATATGAGACTGTGTGTGTGAGAGTGTGTGAGTGTGTGTGTATGAGACTATGAGTTTGTATGTGAAACTGTGTGTGTGAGTGTGTATATGAGACTGTGTGTGTGAGTGTGTGTATGAGACTGAGTGTGTATGTGAAACTGTGTGAGTGTGTGTGTGTCTGTGTGTGAGTTTGTATGAGACTGTGTGTGTGTGAGTGTGTGTGTGAGTGTGTGTGTGTATATGAGACTGTGTGTGAGAGTGTGTGAGTATGTGTGTATGAGACTATGAGTGTGTATGTGAGACTGTGTGAGTGTGAGTGAGTGTGAGTGAGTGTGAGTGAGTATGTGAGTGTGTGTGCGTGTGAGTGTGTGTGTGTGTGAGTATGTGAGTGTGTGTGTGTGTGTGAGACTGTGTGTGTGTGAGTGTGTGTATGAGACTATGAGTGTATATGTGAGACTGTGTGTGTGTGAGTGTGTGTGTGTGTGTGAGGCTGCGTGTGTGTCCTACCGGCTCGTTGGTGCGCTTCCAGAAGATGGCTAGCAGGAAGACGGTGGCGATGGGCGGCCCCAGGTAGCTGGTGATGGACTGGATGTAGTCAAACAGCTGGCCGCTCTGAGCCGTCTGTACCACAGGGATCCAGGCGATACTGATCCCGATCAGGACCAGGATGAACACCCTGAGGAGTCGCGACAGGAGAGGGAGTGTCAGAGCCCCACACAGCTGTGGACCCGTTACCTGAGCAGGGCCTTCACTCCGCTGACTGACACCAGCACACCGCCTGACCCGCTGCTACTCCAGCTGTCTGCCTGTCCAGCTGTCTGTCTGCCTGTCCAGCTGTCTGTGTGTCCAGTTGCCTGTCTTTCTGTCCAGCTGTCCAGCTGTCCTCACCTGCCGGCAATCATGAGCTCCCTCTCGGAGGCGCGGCGGCGGACCTTGGTGTAGATGTCCATGGTGAAGAGGGTGCTGGCGCTGTTGAAGATGGAGGTCAGGGAGCTCATCAGAGACGCCAGCATCACAGACAGCATCAGGCCC